GGAGGGAAAAGTTAACTATCCAGAGAATCAGGCTTAACACTCAAAACCTAACCCTTTAAGTTTAACTATCCAGTTTCTCAGTGTACGCAGTGGTAGCCAAATACTTAACTTGCCATTTGACCAAATCTTACAAATTTTTCACAGCAAAACTGTTGTCAGATTGAGTCCTTCTGAACTTAACCTTCTGACTGTGTAAAATTGTGATTTGGTCAAATGGCAAGTTAGACATTTATATACATATACACTGCCCCGTGCAGAAATTTTTGTATGGCGCCGATCAGGCCCTGATAGGGGTAAATATGGCCCTGATCAGGCAATCCGATCCGTGCCACACCTGGGACGAAACGCCTAACCTGATCAGGGCCAGATAGGATGATCCCTTGTAGGGCCCTGATTTATTTTTTTTAAATATTCATTTCTAAAAGTATCAAATTATTTGTGCATTTTAATAACAGAAAAGTGTTTTCTTTTAAATATTAGTTAAAATATTTATTAATTTTAAACAAACCTACTATGAAAATTAAAACTACAAAAATTAAACCTACTATTAATAGAAAAACTATTAAAACCTATTATAAATAATAACAAAAATGAATTACTAATTAATAAGTAATAATTAATTAATAATTTATTTATTTGTTAAAACATTACAAATAATAGTGATTTTTGTTTTTTTGACCGTAATAAATATTCATTTGTAAGATAATGAAAAGGCCTATTTTACGGTTTGTTTAGATAATATTTATTATTTTGAAATACCAACTAGTTTCGAACCATATTATAGTTCCTCATCAGGGGATGAATAATTTTCACAAATACGTTAAACAAAATCAAGACAAAGCACAAAAGATTTCAAAAAGGATTAAATTATAAAATGATCTGAAATAAAAAATTAAAAATTGTTTCAAATCTAATTGTAATGTGTATTTTAAGGTTATCTTTTAATTTGTGAAAAAGAGAAAGTAAAAAAGTTTCTTACCCTTTAGAAAAAAATATAAGCATGCAACAAAAATTTTTTCAAAAATTTTTTTATTATTATTTTCCATATTGATTTTTTTTAAATTAATTACTTTTAAAGATTTTGTAGAAGCACATTTTTTTATAGAAATGTGCCTCTATGATTAGAGAGTTTTGACAGAGAGGTTGGGTTATGCAGTAGGGTCCAGGTATTGCTGGTAAAGAAGAAATCCATGTTATTAGACTTTTTAAATTATGTTTTATAAGAAGCAGGAAGGAAGAGTAAGGAGACCATAGAGTTATTAGAATAGAGTGCGCGAGTTATACCTTTTACCGTGAGAGGCATTCTTAGGCGCATAGAAAGAGACAAAAGCATGAAAGTAGACCCCTTTTCTTACCTTGTTTATTGGCGCATGTGCAAGAATGAAAGTTTTTGGTTAGGTTTTTGTCTAAAAAGATCGCATGAAAAATTGTTTTAAATATTATAAATGTTTTATTTTAATTTTAAATTTATTTTAAATTATTTATTTGTCATGTAAATAAAAGAAAAATATAATTGCAAGCAAGCAACAGTTGTTTCGATGGATCAGCTGTTTCACTATCGCACATGCGTTATTAGAGAAAGAAAGAAAAGGGGTCTTCTTTTCGTATGGCTGTCTCCGTCTATGCGCCTAAGAAACATTTTGGTCGCTTGCGCACTCTATTCTAATAACTCTATGAAGGAGACCGAACTCTGCTTCTACAAATGAGGCTCCGGATCTTAAAAGGGCACACGCGCGAACAGACGGCAAATAAGTTGGCCCCTGGGGATAAAATTTTGAAGTTGTTCAAAATGAATTTTAAATTATTGTTTCTTGTACAGAATTTCAAGGCGAAACTTTTTTTCTAATAAAAATTTTTTATATAATTTCTCGTTTTCACGTAAATTGAAAAAACGTGATTTTTTAAGTTAAGAAATTTTAATTAATTTTTGACTTCAACTCGTGACTACTTCGTTAAATATTAATATTTTTCCACGAAATTTACACACATTTTTCTTCAAACTATTCCAAGAGTGAAACAATATTTAGAAATTAAAAAAAAAATTGTATGTCAAAGTAAATAATTATTTAAATAATTTTGTCGGAAAAATGATTCTCCTATTTTCAATTGAAAAAGTTGAGTGACGAATTTTCGTTTTCGGAAAACTTTCAGCGACAAAAATGTTCATTAATATGTTAGGAAGTTTTTTGAAAAATATCTCGCCATTTGATAATAAATTAAAGACAATAGAGCAATTTTACCATCGTCGCGCTCTGCTGTAAACGTAAACAATGTCTATCTATACTATACATTAGTCTTGTAGGCTTCCGTTTCCGGTACCGTTTCGGTGTACACGCGTGTGGAAAGAGTTAAGAGTTTTTTTGAGAAATATAAAGGTTTTAAAAAAGGGTGGGTAGTGTAGAGTGCTGAGTGTGTAGTGTAATTTGCGGTAGTGTAAAGGAAAGGTATGTTGGTATAGAGTAGTGAATGTGTGAGTGATAAAAAAGGTAAAAAAGAGAAGTGTGTTTTGTGAGGTTAGGTTGCTTGAAGTGAGAGAGAGGAGAGAGAGACAGTGGAAAAATTTTGAGCATTTGAGTGATAAGGTAGATTTCTGGAATGGCTGAGTTTGACTCAAGTAGTGTTAGCGAGAATGAGAAAAAGGCGCGGGTATTTGAAAGGGGAATAGGAAAGAATGGAAAAAAGATGACGTGTGAGGATTGCATGGATTTGTTAGAATTAGTATGGATGATGAAGGACGCGATGGATGAAGGAGCTAAGAGAGTGAAGGAAAATTTGATGGATATATGTGAGGATGGGGAATCAAGGGACAAAGAGATAATGGAAATTGAAGAGAGGTTGGAGAAATTGCAGGAAATGTGGAATGAATGGGATAGTAAGTGGAAAAAGGATAAGGAAAGCATGTGGAGAAGAATGAATGGATTAGAAAAATTTATAAAGGAAGTGAATGAGGGGACAGAGAAAGTTGAGGGAAGTGAACATGATAGGTTGAAGTGGAAAATGGCGGATTTGACAAGACGAGTGGATGTAGTAGAAAATGAAAAAAGGAAAAAGAATGTAGTGATCAGAGGTATGAATGTAGGTGTGTTGGAGGGTAAAAGAGCAGTGGAAAAAGTGTTGGCGTGGGTGGGGGTTAATGTCACAGTGAAAATGGTACAAGCGTTAGGAAGGGGTGAATATGGGGTTCCAAAGTTATGGTTGGTGGAGTTGGGTAGTGAGGAAGAGAAAATGGATGTAATGAGGGTGAAAGGAAGACTGAAAGGAAGTGTAATAAGAATAGATGAGGATAGATGTTGGAGAGAGAGAAGAATGCTATGGCTATTGAGAGAAAGAGCGTGGACGGAGAGAGTGAAAGGAAAACAGGTAAGAATGGGTAAGGATTGTATTTGGGTGGATGGGGTAAAGTATGTTGTGGGGGAGGATATGGGTGGAGTGATGGAAGTGTGTAAAGTGTGATAGACAGGTATAGGCTGAGAATGAGGTGAGAAGATTTTGCTTGGATGGATGGATGGGTAAAAGTGGATGACTGGAGGGTGTAAGAGAGGTGAGAAAGGAGTAGAAGGTTTTTGAAAAAGGGTGGGCGAATTGGGTCGAAGCCAGCATGGGCATAGAAGGAACTGGAAACGGAAGCCCGGCACTGGCGATAGGTTAAGAGCGTAAGGTAGAGAGCGAAGAGAGAGTTGCGTTTTTAGGTTAAGTTGTATGAAGAGAATGTTTAGTTGTAAGGATTTTTGTAAATATAGGTTAAGATTGTTATGTATGTACTTGGGAGTCTCGAACCCTACCTATTGTAGGGAGAGTAAATAAACTATAATAACATTAGTCTTGTAATGGCGGCCATGCTACACGTGCGCCGCCACGCCGCAATTTTACAGCAGAGCGTGACGATGTTAAAATTGCTCTATTGTCTTTAATTTATTATTAAATGCCGAGATATTTTCCAAAAAACTTAACATATTAACATTAATTAATTAACATATTAATGAACATTTTTGTCGCTGAAAGTTTTCCGAAAACGAAAATTCGTCACTCAACTTTTTCAATTGAAAATAGGAGAATCATTTTTCCGACAAAATTATTTAAATAATTATTTACTTTGACATACAATTTTTTTTAATTTCCAAATATTGTTTTACTCTTGGAATAGTTTGAAGAATAATGTGTGTAAATTTCGTGGAAAAATATTAATATTTAACGAAGTAGTCACGAGTTGAAGTCAAAAATTCATTAAAATTTCTTAACTTAAAAAATCCCTTTTTTTCAATTTTCGTGAAAACGAGAAATTATATAAAAAATTTTTATTAGAAAAAAAGTTTCGCCTTGAAATTCTGGACAAGAAACAATAATTTAAAATTCATTTTGAACAACTTCAAAATTTTATCTCCAGGGGACAACTTATTTGCCGTGTGTTCGCGCGTGTGCCCTTTTAAAATCCGAAGCCTCAAATGTCTGAGAAATATGCACGAAAAGTGCCAGACTCACTGTGTTCTAGTTGATCACCAATTAAGTCGATCATGCGCATTGAACTAAAGTAAGTGTTGACATAGATGAAAAGTGTGGTTAGGTCAAGGTAAATATTACATAGTTTAAACAGTGTTAATTTTAAAAGCAAATTTATTTATTTGCAATTGTGATATTATTTAGATTTTCAAAATAATTTAATAATATATTTATGAAAAGGGAAAAGTTTTGCGAAAATGGTTAACAAGAATTAATGATTAAACGAACTTAGTGAAGTTCGATCATAATTATATGAATGAACTTGTTCGAAGATGTAATGAACATGTAGTACCGCAACTTGTTGCTAAGTGACGCCACATTTTAGAGATATAGAAAAGAAAAGAGCCTTCTCTATAGTCTACCTATTCCATCTTTTCCCCATCTAGTTCATTTAGTTTAGAGCGGGAATATTTGAGAAACGTTGAGGGTGGGATTATTATTTTAATTGTTCAGGGTGGGAATATATATCTTCGAACAAGTTCATTCATATAATTATGATCGAACTTCACTAAGTTCGTTTAATCATTAATTATATTTCATTTCCTTGTTCGAAGATATTAACATGTAGATGTTTAGAGAAAAGAGTAAAGATAAGAATAAAAACTTTATTGATTCTCTTAGAAAATTATTAAAGACAAAGGCTTAATATTAATCAGGTACCCAGGAAAAAACATCTTTAAAATTACAGTTAGTTTAAGTCAGGTACTATTTAAGGAGTAGACAAAAGAAAAGATTATTAATTACTAATTTGAAAATACTGCTTTGGCGAAATTTTCGCTTGTCCTCTTAATAGGCTTATTATAAAATTTTGCGAGTGTGGAAGTGCGTTGGGACCAACCTGCTGCGTTTTTTATCGAGTTGATGTCCAAGTCTGCCTGGGAAGCTTTAGAAGTCGATGCATGTCTTGTACTATACAGTTTAAAGACTTCGTCTACTCCAGCCTCTTCCATGATCATTTTTAACCACCTGCTGATTGTTTGGCTACCTATCGGCTTGTGTGGTTCCTTGAAGGATAATAAAAGATTTTTACAATCTTTCCTAATCAACTTTGTTTTTTCAAGATAATGAAGGAGCGTTTGAGCGATGCACAATTGGGGTTTTTCTCGGAAGAACGGAAACCAGGCGTACGGCAGCGGGGCTCCGGGGCGAGAAGTTTTGATTAATTCGTCGATTTTAATTTCCACTCCTTGATTATTGAACTTTATGTTATCAGTCTTTATAAGGGCAATCGATTGCATTCTAAATGATGATCTAAGCGCAAGGAGCATCGTTAATTTTAACGATAACTGTCGTAAATCTAGTGATTCTATCGGGTTCCGATTGGCCAATGTGTCCAATACAATGCTGACATCCCAGGTAAAATTGTACCTGGGAGCCGGAGTTCTCAGTTTGTAAATGCCCTTGAAAAAACGTTGAAGTAGATTGCTGTCGGAGTTACTTTGATTATTGATTAATGCAATAGCGGATCGCATCGTGTTAAGAGAGCTGTAGTTAGCTCCGTCTGAAAATTTTCTCGTGAGGCATCTTAAGATTGTCTGCTCGTCTGCTGAGTAGGGGTTGAAATTCTCCTTTTGGCAGAAGAACCACCAATATCTTAATGACGATTCATACTGTTTGATTGTGCTGTTCGTGAGGGAGGCTGTCATCACTTTAATAGATTTCTCTTCCAATCCCTTTTCCTTCCAGGTTTCCCTGAGACAATTCCGCACACCAGGGAAAGGCTTGTTGCAAGTGGATGAATTTCTTTCCTGCAAGGTGAAAGAAGAAGATTAGTACTTGGAGGAAAAATTATGGTTTCTGAAATAAGGAGATCTTGAAAAATTGGGAACCACGGTTGTACGGTCCAATGAGGGACTACTAAAATTCCGGTAGAGTTCTCATCTCGAATTTTCTTTAAAACACGATTTATAAGGGAAAAGGGGGGAAAGGCATACCAGAAATCGTTCCTCCAATTAACCGTCATTGCGTTAATTGCAGAGGCTTCTGGATCCCGTTCCCAAGAACAGAACCTTACGCATTTTGCGTTAATTCGCGTTGCAAATAAATCGATCGAAGGGGTTCCAAATTTATTAACTATCAAGCGAAAAGCCTTATTAGCCAGTTCCCATTCGGTATCTAGGTTAGCAATCTTGGAGCCCTCGTCAGCAGGATTGTCCTTCGAAGCCACATATTCCGCGAAAATCCAAATGTTTCTGCTCATGCACCATTCCCAAATGAGCCTAGCAGTTTCGTTTAGGTGTTGGTATTTAGTACCTCCCATCTTGTTAATGTATGCTAGAGCAGTTACATTATCAATGCGTAGTAGGATTTGTTTGTCGGATTTGGTGGCTGCAAAGCACTTTAAGGCTAAAAAGGCTGCTTTTAGTTCTAAATGATTAATTGGCATTTCGCGTTCTAATTTGTTCCAGAGACCATTTGCTTTTAACTCGCCACAGGTTGCGCCCCAGCCCCTACCGGATGCGTCTGAAAAAATTTCCATATCAAATGAGGCGGGTCGAATTTTGTTTTTTGCTATTGAAATCTGGGAGAGCCACCATTTTAACTCTCTCACTGCTTCCTCTGGTAAGGATATTAATCAATTCAAATTATTTACTTGAATTTTTAATTCTCTAATTTTTACCATCTCCAGTTGCTTATAATAAAGCCATCCATACGCAATTGCAGGACAGGCCGCTACAAGAGTTCCTATTAATTCAATCAATTTTTGCAATTTAATCTTATTGTTTAGTATATTAGTCAATTCTTTCAGACTTTTTTGGTTAGGTTTCAATATAAATCGTCGAAATTTTTACGCACGTGGTGACAACATTTTTACTATTTTAATCGCGCAGTGTGTTTGAAAATTTACCTTTGCAATAATTTGTGTATTTAAATTTATTTTCATTTGAATGTCATAAATAATTAAAAATAAATAGTTTTTGTTAAGTGTATAAAATTGTTTACTCGAAATGTATAAAACATTATCTGATTAAGTATTGTATTTTGACTCGAAAATCTAGTGTCTATTAAAAAATTAAAATACCAAGTCGTGTTTAGTGTAGTGGTTATAGTTCCAGGTTTCAAAGTGCGTATTCGTTATGTTCAGGTGTTCGCGTCCCCCCTGCGTCAAATATTTATTTCATAAGTTTAAATTAATTCTAAGGTATATAAATACAAAGACAAATATAAATATGTTCAAATACAATAATTAATTTTTTCTTTTTTCTTTTAATTAGTTTTTCTCTTTTATTTGATAATAAGAATTTGATTTGCAATTTCAAATAATTATGATACACAGTGTAAATCTAATATTATTCTCCTAGTCAATTTGACTATTTTTTCCTGATTACATCGACTAATTTTCCTGGTCACTTTAACTATGCTTGAATCTTATTACTTTGACCAGGATTCTATAGTTGGCTCCTCTCGTAACTAGGAAACCTAGTCAATTCCTGGTATACGGGTCCTAGGCATTTTTTTCGGTGTATATAAAAATTAAAAATTTTAAAATAAATAGATCCCATCGTTTACCCACAATTAGACAATGCTTAAAAATTATTAATTTAGTGCTAGTTTCATACAAAAAATTTTGAAAAAATTGACAAAAATAAAATTTTATTTAAAAATTTTTTAAATCTTATCGTAAATTATTAGAAAAAAATTTTTTTATATTTTTATTAAAAACTACGTGTGAAAAAAAAATTTTCGTTAAAAGAACGTCCAATTTGATCAATTTTTGACTGAGTTATAAGCATTTCAAAAAAATGTAGGTAAGTAAAAAAACATAATTTTTTAAAAATCTGTATCTCTTAAATCGCTTTATGAAAAGATTTGAAAAAATCATGGTAGCTCATTTCAACGAGCACTGAAAGAAAACAATATTTGAAAAAAATTTGAGATGCAAAAGCAAAATGATTTCCGACTTGGCGTGGAATGTCCCATATATATGTTACGGTAATAGTACGTAGCTGGTAAATGTTTGACTTGAAATTTTAACTATGTAAAAAAAATTGTAATTGATAAATGAAAATCATGAAAATTTTGTCATATCTTTTGAATAAAAAACTAAAATTTTGTTAAAAAATGTTCTTAATAACAAAGAAACAAATAAATAATTTCTTTTTACTACACGGAGAAAAAAATGCTGTTGAATCAATGACATATGGGTTTGATTCATTGAATAGTGTCATAACGGGCTGCCTAACGTATATGCTGTTGTTTTGAAAGCACCGATTCTAATGATTCGATAGTATCACTTTCTTTGAAACAAAAGCATATTTCTCAAATTGACAGCATACTATGTTAATTCGAAGGTGAATCCTTTTCAATGAATAAACAAAATTTTTTAATTTAACAGTATATGCTTTTGAGTCAATGACTATAACTTTTAAATTTAAAAGCATCATTTTTATGATTCAAAAATTTGTACTCTTAATTTTTTTAGTTGTTGCTATCGATTGAATAACACCATACTGTTAATTCAATTCTTTTATGTGGTTAAATATATACCAACGATAAATTGAAAAAAGGAAATTTTTGTTCACATGTTTTTTATATACTATAATTAATTCTCACACCTTTAACACAACACTTCTTATACACATCTTTTTTTCAATTTTACACACAAACATACACATTTTTATTATTTTTTTCATTTTTTCCAACGGCTAAACACACACACATACACATTTAAACACACTTATCTTTTTTAGTCAGAAAAATGCGGCTATTCCCAAGCGGTCACCCATCCATTTAGTAACCGCGACCAACGACGCTTAACTTCCGTGATAGACGAGAACCGCCGCGCTGCAATGTAATACATCCGCTTCTCAACATTGGGCACTTACTTTGTGGTTAAATACCGTGCGCGAGATTTTTCGCGTATATAAGGGAATTTATATAGGGAATTTATATTTAACTAGTCATTAATTAATTAAAATAATTTAAATAACACTTTTTATGTAAGGTAAAGGAGAATGCTGGAAGTTCGTTCAAAGCCGAAAGGCAGGAACTATGTATAATAAATAATAAAATACTTTTTTATATTGGAATCTCAAAAACGACAGATTTAATAAACATATAAATATATGTGGGTTAGTATTTCAATAAATTTAGTACCTGTCAATGTCTCAAATACATAGTGTTCTTATTTTTATAGCATATGCTATAGGCAATCCGCAATAGCACCACTCATTGAAACGAAAGCATATGCTTTCGTTTTCCATAGCGCGCTTCTTTGGAGCAAACAATTTTTCATTTGATTTAAATTTACATGCATTTTCTTCAAATTTATCTATTAGATGCTTCAAATGAATAATGTCAAAGAAGCAATAAATTATTCTGTTGCTATATATAGATGAACTATAGAAACAATTTGCACAATATCATTAATTCTACAGTACCGTACTTTTAATTTAAACAGTTTCATTTTTTCGTTTTAAGCAATATACTTTTCGATTAATAAATGTGTCATTGAATCAATAACGGGAAATTCAATAGCATGGAGCTATTTGATTCAACAGCACTTTTTTTCAGTGTATTTAAATAGTTAATTTAACTTTTTTTATAGTTGCTTTAACTACAATTGGTTATACTAACACCTCCTGGAACCACAAGAAATTTAAAACGTAGTCAAATTTACCACCCATAGTAAAAATAGAATTATTATTATTAGACAAGCGAAAAGGCGCATTAACATACATAACAATAACAATCTGAAAATTGATTTTTTTCATTATCTAAGTACAGATAAACATCCACTGTTGATAAAGTAGAACTTTTCATTACTCTTTTTTTCACCTTTATTATCAACTAGAACTGCTAGAACTGTACAGCGATAAGTATAGATTCAACATTTTCATATAGGGATTTTACTATACACGGAAAAAAAAAGTTCACGAATCTCTCGTGAACTAGTATATCACTTTTGGATGGGACACAAAATTCTTAAAAATCAACAAACACAGTTCGTCAAAATTTCATCAACTCCTTCACTAGAAACATAGTACGGTTTCCGAACTTTTCGTCAAAGTTAACGAAAAATTCGTGAACTTTTAAAAAATGCTAAAAACAAGAAAAAATAATTTCCAGACACTACTTTTTTATAGTATTTCACTTTATTTGATAACTTGACGCCTATAACGCACCCAACTACACAGAATACACAATTTTATCGCCATTAAAATTCGTAATTCGCTTCACGGGATTCGAACCTAGTACCTATACCCTATAACATAATATTTCTAACAACTAACCGCCACGGCTAAATCTAGATACACTGTCCTTCGACAAACGAAACGATTAGCTTTGTCTGCTGTAAAACTCAGGACCGTGCAAAGTAGAAAAAGTCCCTTATCGTAACTTTTAATTCATTTTATGAATTATTTGTTTCACAAAGGAAATTAGCAAACAAAAATATTCACTAAGTAATAAAAAACACTGATTCTAAATAATAACTTTCATCAAAGAATTTTCCCGAATGTAAACACCGATGACACCGACTGAATGATGAATGCTTGATCAGCCATATTTGATGCGCATTACGAACTGCGCATACTACTGACACTCGCGAGTTCACGATTTTTTCGTGAACTTGTACCTCTACTTTTGACGAACTACTCTTCCTTAACAGTTCATCAAAAATTCATTAACTTTGTTTCAGTTTTTCGTTGACGTTCGCCATTTCTAATCAAAAGTGAATGAAAATTTTGAAATTTTGTGTCCCATCCAAAAGTGATATACTAGTTCACGAGAGATTCGTGAACTTTTTTTTCCGTGTATATACTCGTATTTTACTTACTTTCCTCTTATTGTAGGAATTTTCATACTTTTTAAAATTTCTTTTAGTTCTTAACACTAATAAAGCAAAACTCTTCTTTTTTAAAGCCCAGAAAAATTTTAGGATAATTGGACCTATAACAAAGACTAATTGAAGAACAAGACCATTTCGCCAAATGCAACAAAGCGAATTGGACAAGCTGTCTGTCCAATTCGCTTTTTCGCTTGTCTAATAATTCTTTTTCTACTGGCAGGTTTTTCTTTGTGTGTAAAGCTCTGCCAAAAATTATGATGTAGACTTTCTTCTAAACCTTAAAAAATAATGTTTTTTGCAATTGCAAAAGCATAGGCTTATTAACAATGACACTACAAATGTTTAGAAACATATAAATTTTTTCTGTCTCATCTATATGGTTTATAGTTATTCAGAATTTAGAGGTGGCCGACTACTGTATCTTTTACCCTAAATAAGTTGTAATTTTTCATCATTGATTTAAGTTTATAGGTGCTAAAATTTTATTTAGAATTTATAAACTTTATTTTATAATTTTATACTTTCATTTTTACTTTTATTTTATTTGGTTTGATTGATTTTTTCTGAAATTAGATACAGTTCTCTATAACAGTATATTTGCGCATGGAATTAGAAGATAGTAATAACTAGTAGCGAGCCATTGGACGAGCGCGATGTTTAGCAAATCCGCAATAATGTGAGTTATCTGTTAAGAGGATGGGTAATAGACTGTGGGTAATATTAATTTGCTTAATGAAATTACCTGCTGCGTACTTTACTGGATAATCCGCACATCTGGCTACACGGCTTATAATTTGTTGTAACATGATTACTTGAACGTATTCCTAGAAATATATATATATATATATATATATATTATAATGAAAATTGATTAATTACAAAAGGTATTATATTGACCTATAATCTGATATACAAAATTCAATGATTCATCGATAAATTTACTTTTATTCATATCAATCCGATGATAATAATAATATTAATAATAATGAAATTACCAAGAACAAACAATTGTGATAATAATATAAATTTTTAATTAAAGATTTTTTCACATAATTATTCATAATGAATATTCAAAGTCCAAGACCGGTTAATCAACTCCATGTTAAAGAATAATATTTGATTATTTTAGAATTGATTAAAGTTTAGGAAGTTTGAAAACTAATTAACATGAGTAGTTTTGGATAAGGTAAATTTAATTTCTGGTTATTATATCATAGCAAGTTCATCTCGTTTGTATGTTAATGTAAGTATATACAATAGGGGAGAGTGGGTCAAAATGGGGTACCTTTTTGAAATTGGCTGTTTACACAATAAACCGATTTAACTAAGCATTTAAATTCTTCTTTGTATACACTTAGTTTTGAGGAAATTATGATAATAGCGGAGAAAACAATTTTTGAAAGAACTTATATCGTATTTTCTAAAAACTATACAAAACATGGAATTTTTTTTCAAAATTTATTAAATTCTTGTTGTATGAGATTATAAATGCAAAGAGAAGTAGGATTATTTATTATTATGAAACATCGATAGTATAAATGTCTCGAATCAAAAATATCCATTCTTTTGCAGGAAATTTTTAAATATGCATAATGTAATGTTTTTAAATAGTTGAATGAAACGGCGTAGCACCCGGTATGCCCCACACTGCATATTAAAACAAAATGTAATTTTTCCAAGTTATTGTAAATCAATCAAATTAAATGCAATATCCCAAAAAGATTTGTAAGCACTTTAATTTCGATAAATATATTTTTTTTTTTGCTTAAAACTTTAAAGTTGTATAACTTTAAAAAAAAAAAATTTTTGTAGTGTCTTCATAATTAATAACATTTTCTTATTAATATGAATGATATAAATTAAAAAAATTGAAAGTAGCTATCATGGAAAAATAGGTGTACCCCATTTGACACGCCTACCCCATTTTGCCCCACTCTTCCCTACATATAAAGGACGAGGAAAATTTTCCTCGAAGCGTTTGCGAGATTCTAAGCTCAAGGGGTGAATCAAGGAATGTCACGTGAACGCAAACTATGTATGACTTGTAGCAGCCAAAATCATATAGCTTCGAAAATCACTTGTATACATACGTATGCCTCTATATATTGTCAATCAAGAACAGTATTTCCTCTACAAATTTCTGCAAAATAGAATTTTCCAAGAGATTTTAGAAATTTCAATTTTTCACCAAATAGCTTGAAAACTAGATCATCATTTTTCATGCTGGGCCAAACAACTTGCCAGATATATGTATATATATATATATATATATATAATTATATATTAGCCTGGCCTCGATTTGTTAAGATATTTTTTAATCTGGTGATATCATTGAGCACTGGGCAGAAAAAGTTTCCTTTTTACCTAAAGAAACAAATACGAAAATAGTTATGTTGATCTATAAATAATTAATAGACCCAAAAACTTAATAATATTATAGAAAAAGAGATTTTATTGACATTTTGAATTTTAATATTAATTTCATAAAGTTTTGAATATCTCGGACTATTGTTTATGGATTTTTATGAAGTTTACACATTTTTCAGGTAAAAATGTGTACTTTAAAATAAAAATAATGGTTATAAAAAAATTAGTTTTTTAATAAAAGAATAAAAAAATTTTTTTTTATTAATGATCAATCTTTTAGGGGCCGTCCATATATTACGTAACGCTAATTTTTGAGAATTTTGACCCCCCTCCCTCTCCCCATGTAACACACTGTTACATACATTAGCACCATTTTTTGGCTTATCGTAACAAATAGCTTGACCCCCCCCTCCCCCAAAAAGTGTTACGTATAATATATGAACGATCCCTTACGTCCGAGCAGTTAGTTGTACGGTAAATAAAAACGAATTCATTCAGACCAAATGTTATTGTATATTTTTCTCCAACGTTTCGAAATCTTAACGATTTCCTCTTATTTTAATAATTTTATTTTAATTTTTTCATTATTTACTCTAATGCCTATCTAATGTTTTTTGGTATCGTTTCAGTAAAGCCATACAATAATTTTAAGACAAAAAAGAAAAAATGGGTATATGAAATTTTGAATAAACTCAGTTTTTCGATTTTTTTTATTTCTGATATTTAAAAAATCTTCATTTGTTAGTGAGTTGGTCAAATTCTACAAAAACTCAGTAGAAATAGACAAAACTTTGATAATATATAAGAATTTAACTACAAACATTTAAATTTCAAATGGTTCTGCAGATTTTCGGTATAACTATAGATACGAATTCTATGTCAGATTTCCAAAATTCAAAATGGCGGATCGTATATGGCAGACGATTTGTTAAATCTGACATCGTATTCGCATTCAGTTGTACCGAAAATACGCAGAAGTATTTGAAATTTATATCCTGATTTGTAGTAATATTCTTCTTCATTATCGAAGTTTTGTCTGTTTTTACTCAGTTTTTAAAGAATTTGACAAACTCAGTAAACAGAATAAACGATTACTCAGAGGAAAATGAAAATATTTAAAATTTTCAAAATGTATTTTAAAGAAAACTTTTGGCATAACAATTATCATTTGATGTTAAAAAACTGGTCTTTTGCACTTTTAAGTTAAAATACCTCGAAAACCTGACGTGTAGGGTCTATTATGAAGCTGGATTCGGAATTATCACGTTGAAAACCTTCGGAAAAGTATTGTTTGATTCTTGTTTAGTAAATACTGCCGGCCTGTGGTACAAACGGTTCCTAAATTTTTTTAAAATTGATGATAAACGACAATTTCTTTATCAATTTTGGAAATTTGTAAGGCTCTACAGTAATTTTTTGTGCTTTTTACCATAGAAAATCTTTGTCGATGCCAAGGTCGATGCTAAAAGAATTCGAATCCTCCACGGAGGATTCAAATGCTACTCTTGAAAAAATTGTTTTTCCATAGAATTTCTTTTAATTTTGAGAAAATATCTCTTCGGGTGCCCTATAAATGTGGTAAAAATTTTAAAACCCTTTGCGATGCCAAATTTTGAGATATTCAAGTTCAAACTTTAACTTTTACATGCGATTATGTTAAAAATAAAAAATGTCAACCACAATATCTCGTTTTTTGACATGGCAAAGAGTTTTGAAATATTTACAAAGAAACATTTTCTCAAAATTTAAAGAAAATCTATTAAAAATCAGTTTTTTCAAGAGTAGCAGCCGGAGATATAGCTACAATTTTTTAGTTAATAATTAATTTTTTTATTAACTTTTTTTTTATTTTAAATTACAAATTTTTACCTGAAAAAAGGTGTAAATTTCATAAAAATCCACAGCATGTGTTCCCATGACAACTATGCATGCATTGGCATGCATGCAGAGCTGTGAGAGCGTCTTAGGCTGCGGTTACACCTCTGCAGGCTGCCTGCCTGCGCAGGCAGGAGCAACGAGAGTAAGGGAGAAGTTTGAAATCACTGACTCTCTTACTCTTGTACGTTACCATGACAACCTGCAGGCAGGCAGGCTGCCTGCAGAGGTGTAACCGCAGCCTTAAAGCAGAGTCTACAATGAGAGAAGGTGCGCATCGATGTTCATAGCTATAGATATACCACAGCATGCTTTAGTATACCTATAGCTATGAACACCGATGCGCACCTTCTCTCATTGTAGAATCTGCTTAAAGGAGCATTCAGACCTCTGCAGTCTGCCTGCCTGCGCAGACAGAAGATCGTTCACACCTCACTTTTCCCGTTGAAAAATGAGATGTGAACGATCTTCTGTCTGTGCAGGCAGGCAGCCTGCAGAGGTCTGAATGCTCCTTTATATACTAAACAGAGATTTTTCTGCGCTTGTGAGATAGGTGAAATTATATTTTAAACTGTTTAAAACCAAAAATAAAAATTATAATTTATTAATAAAAAATCAAACATTGTATTGTTTTTTGATTAACAATTTTTATTTAACACCTTCAAAATTAAACTGAAAAACAGTTAATCGTACACCCAATGGGAAATTAACCATTGGCGCAATAATGGTCCTATATTGGGAGCCAGCAGTACCAATAATGGTGCAATAATAGCAACCAATATTGGGCCACTATTGCCAGAGTCTTGGGATGATCACGACTTTGCCAAGCATTGGCAGCCAATATTGGATCAATATTGGCTGCCAAGACAAATGCCGGACTTTCCAAGCGTTGGATATTCATTGGCAACAAATATTGGACCAATATTAGTGACCAATTAATTACCAATGCTTTAAATTAAATTAATGCTTGGTTATTTATTGGTTACCAATACTGAACCAACGTTTGAAATCAATATTTTACAAATACCAACACATAGCAAAAATTTTTCAAAAAAAAAAATTAAATTACTAATCTAAAGAAAAAAAATTAATTTAATTGGAACACTCTGTTAAAAACAGAATGTGATAAAAATCAGACAAAGATAATATTTATCTACGTTTAAGAATGCAAGCGTCTCTTCTTATAAGAGAATATATAGAATTTCTATATATAGAACTGGTAACACAACTTGCTGGTGAGAGGAAGAAACTGTGGCGCACCCTGGTGGCACTTATCCAAAGTAATTTCAAGCATATACTTTGAAGCAGCGCGGGACATTTCAAAATCGAACACCAGGGTGCGCCAGAGCTTCTTTCACTCACCAGCAAGTTGTGTTACCACTTCTATATAAGAAGAGACACTTGCATTCTCAAACTTAGATGAATTTTGTCTTTGTCTGATTTTTATCACATTCTGTTTTTAACAGAGTGTTCTAATTAAATTAATTATTTTTTTTCTTTAGATTAGTAATTTAATTTTTTTTTTTTTTTTGAAAAATTTTTGCTATGTGTTGGTATTTGTAAAATATTGATTTCA